ATACAACATTACCTGCATAATGCATATAGCATATCTCTAGCATTCATGCCACTCATTTTAAATATGTACTATGGTTTTTAGTATCAATACTAACAATATTTTTTAAAAAAATCTTTTTGCCAAGCCTTTAAATACAATACTAATATTTTTCTAGATCATTTAAATCAAGTAACAATAATATAAGTGCAGTTATAAAATAAACAAATAATTTAATAAAATACTTATATATGACTTTATTATAATTTTAAAGATATAACTAAGAAATTTGACAATCTTCAAGACACTTCAAAATATAAAGTTTAAAATCATGAATTGGTCCTTGAAAATTTGCAAAATTAGATGATTTAGAATTATTAAACCTGTAATATTGCTTTCAATACAACTCTAATCATTCTTTTAAAAATATTTAGTAAATTATAATATACTATCAAATGTAAAAACAAACTAAGTTATTTTGATTAAATAGTATTCTTTACCTCTGGGTTAAAAAAGTAAACAACACTATATAAAAATATGATACTGTAAACTTTAATAATTATTAATAGAAATTGAATTATATTGAAATATTTAACATATTTCTTTATTTGTTAAATTGTTATAATGCTTTCAATAGTTCAAATTATTTAATTGTTTTAATTTTCTATTTAGTGTATACTAGAGTTAATACCTTTATTCAGGTTTATATATCTAGATATATACTATATCATGTAATATAACATGATAATATTTTTAAATCTGGATATAAATAAATCTAAATTTAAATTCAGATTTATACTATGATAAAACCAGATTAATCTGGATATAAAAAATATATAAGAACCTCACAGCAAATAGCATTGGGCCAAAAATTTTTTAAAAAAAATACAATTTCTCAAAGAATTAAAATAATAGACATGATTTTTAAAAAATTACAGAATCAAAATTTTTGGTTCAAGCCTCTTTTTGCTGTAGGGGTTCCTATATTTAGATTGAGGTATTAACTCTAGTGTGAACCATAATAATTAAAATTCTTTTTTATTTGATATTATAAATTGGTAATTTCTATCAGAGTAATTAAGAAGATATAAATAAGTGTATAAGAGGTAGTGATACAGGTTGATGAAAAAAATCATAAGCTGTGTTGATTCTAAAAAAGCTTGAGCTGGTAGATTAAGCCAAACATTTTAGCTAATATAAATTTTTCATCTCAATATATATATCAAGCATGTAAAAATCCACCAGGTAGTTCCTTGTCAAATTTTAGTATACTAAAAATCATTTAGTTTTGTATCTAATTATAATACATTATATTTTATATTAATTAATTGTCTATACACCTGAACATACCAGGCATTTCTATTTCTTATTATTTGCTAATTTATCACCTAAATTAGCCAACTAGTGAGTGTCTACATTATTAGTTGATTTTTAGCCAATTTTTTAGCCAGTATATGAGAATTGATTCTAGCACTTCTTTTAACGACTGGCCCAGCCCATGAGGGTGCAGGCTGAGGGTCAACCACCCATTGGCCTGGCCATTGGGCCAGGGCCAGCCCATATCACTAATAAGAGGTGAAAGTGAATATTCAACAAAATTTTTAATTTGTTATATTCCTAGTATAAACTCTGTCATTTCAGTCTTTAACTAAACTTTTTTATTGATTGTTTCAATCCCATAATTGTAACCAACGGTTTGATGCCAATTTTTAAAATTTGAAGTGGCTTTTCTAGTATTTTCTGGAATAATGCCAGTTCTTGTCACAAGAATCTCTTATGATGGTTTGTAATATGTATTATTCAGCCAATAAAAGAAATAATTATTTAAAATATTTATTATTTTATTTGATTAGAAAATAAATTTTATATTCATATTTTCGCTTTTGGCGTATTTGTTTTGTAAAAAGTAAATAAAAAAAGCTTATATCATAATTTATAGTCGTCTGAACGTCGTCATCTACCGGATAAAACTGTTATTGGCTGCTACGCAACAGTAACTTCCAAGCAAGATACGTCTTCGTATTCGTCACCTGATACTAATTAAATACTGATCAGCTGATCACTATTTGATCAGTATCAATATGCCGAATACTGCAGTTATTGGATGTTTCGCATCCAAAAACTATTAATTATTTGCAAATGACCCAAATTTAAATAACCAGAAATGACTAGTCGTTTTAAGGTTATTTGATGCCATAACAAATAACCCGGTCATTTACCAACCTTAACTACTAGAGCCAACACTTCTTCTATTCGAATTTCGAAGTTTAAAATCAACTAAGTTAGCTTTATATTTTATAACTTTTGCACTGTTAGTAGATTCTGTTCGCTATGTTAATATACACCATGTATACTATGTACGCTATGTTGACTATCGAATATCGATATGTCGAATTCGTAAAGGCGTTCTATTTAAGGATTTCACATACTATTTTTGGGCCTCTATCTAATACGTTACATACGTACTAACAGCTAACTACGTTGAGCTTTACTAAATATAGGTAATCGGAAAGAAACTAAAAGTGTATTGTATGCAGATTGCAGATCCTCACTAATTAAATAAATTTTGATCAAAAAAATCAGCCTCCTAACTTTATTGAATTATCGGTCAATCTACACACTAATAATTACAAGAATGTAAGTAATTAGGAATCGTTAGCAACTTTAAAATTAAATGTATTAAATATTTATCAACGTTAAATATGCATTAGGAGGTAAAATTAAGATTGCTAAACATCCAACAGCGTATCATTATGTAATCTTAATAAATTGTCTATCAAACGCACTACGTATTAGGGCGTAAGTACTCAGGAACTTATGCAATTCAAAAAAATTTCTACTAATTGATTGATAATCTTATTACCAGAGAGTGAGTATCTCAATATAAATATTTTAAATAAATTTTTTCACTAAATAATCTCGAATCAAATTTCAGAATGTGTGTATTTAAAGTCAAAATTGTTTAATAACAAATTGAGCTATTTGCGCATTAATTCATTTACGAATGCTAAAATATCAGTTTGTAAGTATTTTGGTTTTTAAGTTTATGATTCATTCTAGTTCAATAACTCTGATTATTTATATATTTATATAAATTTCATATTCAGGGAGTGAGTATTTGGAATTTTCAAGTTAAATCCTTTCGCAATTTAGATATCCAATCTATTATTAATCAATTTACGTGCACCAAATTACTAGGATGTGAGCATTTAAATTATAATATCTATTGAAAGTTTTTCAATAATTTAATATTAAAATCTATGTTAAATTACCAGGGAGTAGGTATAATTTATAAAATAAATTTGTATAAAATGATCCTAATCAAATATCCATAACCATACTACGTACTAGAGTGTGAGTTACAAATTATTAAATTGAAACTTCTATTGGTTAAACAATATATAAAAATAATCAATAATATTTATCTATCAAATAGGACGTGAGTGCCACATTTAAATTCACCGTTTTTTTTTTATTGTTAATTGAACATCATATAACATTTTTATTCATGAATTCTAGTCGGTAATTCTTGAAAGATTTTTAAAATTTAATGCTATTATAATATCAAAAATTATAACTTGATTAATTGTGTTAATAATTCACTATATTAGGAAGTGAGTATTTTAAGCACAAATATTTGTTCTTCATCCAATAAATGATACGATTCTAATTATCTATACATCAATTACACATCTCAAATTACAAAGATAGTAAGTTTTGAATTATATAAAATTTTGTAATTAATGATTTCTGAATTTAGCGACAATTAATCAATACAATTCTAATTACTAGCTTGTAAGTTCGTATTATAATATGCACTGATAATTTAGTATCTTCTAATAGTATCTTCCAATTAATAAATACTGATCAACTACCTGTAAATTACAAACACATCAAATTAGCCAAAAGTGATTATCTATAATAAATACATTTTATCAATAATCAATATTGAATATTTCTAATCTGTAATCTATTGTAACTATTAGGGCGTGCGTATTTATATCTACAATTTTCTATGTGACTAGGTTTCACAATAATTTAACATCAAATATCGCTCAAATTACCAGGGAGTATGTATTTGAAATTGAATATGTCACATTTTTTTCAATTAAAACTTTCTAATCGTTTATCTATTAATTGCACTGCTAGAAAGTGAGTATTATGTTCTTAGCTGATTTGATATCAAATATAACAAATTAATCAATTTTTTATCAATCATATTATTAGAGAGTGAGTGAAATCATGAACTAATAATTCCTAAATATCAAGAAAGTTCTAACAAATTCTTATGAATCACCAGAATGTAGGTATTCATAATAATAAATATTTAAAATTAGAGTTTTTTCATCAATTAGACATCCTATAACAATTTTATCAATTTTCTAATCCTTTAGAGAGTGAATATCTTTAGTAGTTAAATTAATGTTTTTTGATTACAAAAATTATTCTAAGCTATCAGTATTGTCACTAGAGAGTGAGTATTTGTAATTAATAATATTTATGTCAAACATAACGTAACGCTAATCGATTATTCGTCAATTATTAGAGCGTAAGTATTAGTATAAAAAGTCATTTTACATCAAATATGAATGATTAATAGTCTCAAACGTGCATGCATCCAAATTATTAAGGGAGTATGATTTTGAATAACTTTAATAATGAAATTAAAGGGCTTCGGTTTAGTATTCTACAACAGTTCTAAACTACTATACATGCGTCAATTACTAGGGAGTAAATATCTCAAGTCTATACTTTGTTTGTTAATATAAATACTGTATTGTCTTTAATCAATTATACTTCAAATTTCTAGGAAGTAAGTCATGAGATTATAAATACTTTTAAATTTTAATTTTCTAATCAATTATTCATCATACTATTAGACGGTGAGCATTTCGAATCTTAAATAATGATCTAAAATAAATTCAATATCTGATAATAAACCCTAATTGATTAATAATCAATTCATAAGTTGGTGAGTATTTTGAATAATGTACATTTTAAAATCAGCCTTAAGCAATTACTCATCAAAAATTATTAGGGAGTTGAGTGTCTAGAATTGTATTTATATCAAATCGTTTTTCTCTAATAAAGTATAACGTCTAAAAAATTACCAGAGAGTACGTATGTTGAATTATAAAGTTTTTAAAATAAATATTACTTTTAATAACACTAATCAATCGCTTACAGAGAGTGAGTATTTGGAATCATTAGTTAAAATTCCTATAAGCGAATTGCTAAATAACTTTAATACATTATCCATAAATTATGGATTAGAAAGTAAGTATATTGAATCATAAATTTAATGTTAGCTAATTCAAAATATCATCTAAAATCATCTATTAATAAACTAGACGGTAAATATAAAAAAATATTTTTCGAATAAAGTTCATCACTAATTAAATATCAAATTGCATGATTAATCTATCAGGAGGTAAAAATTAATAATAACTGAAGTCTGATATAAACACTAATTTAAACATCAACCAATCACGCATGCAAATGATAGAGAGTGAGTATTTACTTATATTATACGCTTCCTAGCAAAAAAGTATTCGCTCACCGGTGCTAAATAATTATGGATTCAATAATATTTTCAATAACAATCGGTATATTGTGTAAATTTACCATAGCTCCAGATTATTGCAGTTTGCAAAATGATGTCTTTGTTAAAATTCTGATTGTCATTCCATTTGCGATTTTGAAGCAATTTTTATAGCGCTTTGCAAAAAAGATGTGAGCCCATGGCTTTTATGATGATGAACGAGGAAAATTTCTGAGATTCTAAATTGTCTATTAATTCATATTTTGATCAGTTATATTATATTTATTTAATATAATCAAAGACATATCATTTTGCAACCTTAATAAGGGCGATGCTTTAAGATGGGATGTGAATTATTTTAAACTCATGCATCTCGCTAATTCAATCATTTATCCGGTTGTTAAATTATTAGGCAGTGAGTATTAAGAATTAGATACTTCATCTAATGTCATAGCATATTTCTAATCAATCGCTTATTAGAGAGTAAGTATTTGAACAATAAACATTAAGTTAAAGTTTTTAGCGAACTTAATACAAATAACAATTTTACTTATTTAACAGAGAGTGAGTATTTAGGCTATAATGTCTTAATATGAAATTTTTTTTGCCAATTTATATCTAGTAATTATTTGAATAACATTAATATTATCAAATTACAGGATGTAAGAATTCGGAAATGATCGGTTTGAAGTCAGATTTTTTCAATATCAAATGACAATTACATTCACCAAATATAATTAGCGAGTAAGTGTAACATTTTTAATTTTTAATTCTTTTTTTTGATATTAACTAACTTTTATGCACGTTAACTTATCAGAAGGTAAATGTTTAGGTTTAAAAATTTTAAACTAGCTTTTCATTAATTTATTCTAATAATGGTGTGTATACTACCTGCAAATACAAAATTGCCAGTCTGTAAGTAAATAAAATATTTAAGATTTTATAGTTAATTTCGATATCAATAATTAAATACTTATTAAATTACTTATATAATAAAAATGATTAATGACTAGGGCGTAAGTATTGGAAATCGATATTTCTCGTTGATCCAATATGTTTTAATTAATTACATATGCATTAATTACTAGTGTGTGAGTACTTGGAAACGCAATGCTTCTCAATGATTTAAGATTTTAACAATTATATATACATTTATTACCAGTGAGTGAGTACTTAAAAATTTGTAAATCAAAATATCTGAAGTTCAATAATAAATATTAATCTCTAAACAATTATTTAATTGCATATAAAAAATCGTCAGTATGTTGTAAGTAATTAAATTTTGAATTAGAATTAAATAATTAAATGTCTATTAATTCACTATAATTTAATCAACTACATATTCATAAATTGCTAGGGAGTGAGTACTGAAAAATTGAATTTCAATAACCAAAATATCCGAACAATTATTCACAGATTGCTATCAATAGTATCATGTAAGTACAATTCACTCTCGATAATGAAATGGCTTACTGAGAGCCTAATATGAAAATGTTGGGCTCAAAATGTAACCACTTGACATAAGAAAGTTTTGTAAATCTATCTTATATACCAATATATTATGTCGAGTCATTTGCATTGGAACAATGATAACGATAATAATCTATAAATCAATGATTGTTTGTTTAATTAACCAAAATTATATTAACCACATATCGAATTACAGGAAGTAAATTTTTGGAATTATACTTTTTTTACTCAATATTAAATATGAATATCAAATAACTAATTAACTAATTACTTAATTAGGGAGTGTGTATTATCATTAAAATCAAGGAGCTTTAACAGTTTAATATCGTATCTCTAATTAATTAATTATGGATAATACACGTAACTAATCATTAGAGAGTATGTATTTTTTATTCACTTTATCGCTAGTTTGATTTTAACTAACGCAATTTATTTAAATTTTATCCGTCAGTAACGTGCCAGATTATATGATGTAAGCAATTAAAAAATGAATAAAGTTTATTAAAATCGATCATAATTATCTATTTACTACATATCAAAATTATCAGAGAGTAAGTATTTATAAAACCAAATAAAATATTTTAATTTACTTATTTCGGATTGGGGATGGGTTCGATCGCGGTTATGACCGAGGTATCGACTAATTATCGCGGTTTCAAGACGATACGTACATCTCAAATTTGTAGATCACAGCTCAAAAAATTTAAAAATAATATATTGTGTCTTTGACCAAGAAATGCAATTTACAATCATGCAATCGGGTGACAATCAGGCGCGAACGGTCTACAAATTTGTCAAAGATGGAAACCGTTGATTGAACATCCTACCGGTCGATGATAATCTGTCAACGATTTATAATTAAACAATGCTTTATTCATATTTTAGGGAGTGAGCATTTGAAAATTTCAAATTAAATATTATATTCCCACTATTTGGACATCCAATCTAGCATTAATCATTTTATGCATCTAAACTACCAGGACGTGAGTAAATGTCTATTGAACGTTTTTCAATAATTCAATATTAAATAGGAAATCACTGTCAAATTACCAGGGAGTAGGTATATTTATAAATAAATATTGTATTATTGTATAAAATTATTCTAATCAAATATCCATATCCATATTATTAGGACGTGAGTACAAATTCTTAAATTGAAATTTTCCATTGATAAACACTATATAAATCTAATCAATAAGTATTTTATCGTTAATCGATATTAACATTATTCCGTCGTATACTATTAGAACGTGCGTATTCAAGACATAGAATTTCCAAATTAAATGGGTTTGCAATAATTTAACACCGAATATCACTCAAATTATCAGAGAGTACGTATTTGAAATTATTAATAGATTTATATATCAATAAAGTTTATTCATTAATTGCGCTGTTAGATTGTGAGCATTAAGTTTTCTGATAATATTAAATATTACAACTTTAACCAGTTATTTATCATATGAAATTACCAGAAAGTAGGTATTCAGTATAGTAAATAGTTAAAATTGGTTTTCGTCAAATTAATATCCTATAACTGTCCTAATTATTTTTTCAAAATAAATCATTAGAGAGTAAATATTTTCAATAGTTATATCGATGTTTTTAATAATTAAAAACAATTCTACTCAATAATATTGTGCATAAATCACTAGAGAGTGGGTATTTGCAGTTATTGATATTTATGACAAAAATATTGCAACACTAATCAATTACTCATCAATCAAACTTAGAGCGTGAGTGTTGAATAAAAATCAATTCTTTCACTAATTTTGTATCAAATACGAATAATTAATGATTTCTAAACGTACATGCATAAACAATATCAGGGAGTAAGTATGATTTTTAATTACAAAATGAAGTTGAAAACCTTTCTTAAATTTAGTATTTGATAACTGTTCTAAATTATTATACACGCATCAATTATCAGGAAGTAAAAATATTTCAAGTCAATATTTTTTTATTAATATCAAATAATCTTTAATCAATTTTTATCACTCATACATTAAATTGCTAGGAAGTTAGTATTTAATATTGTAGATTTTTTAAAAAATCAAATTTCTAATCAATTATTCATCATACTACTATTAGATCGTAAGCATTCAAATCAAATAATTATAAACGTAAATTAAAGATCTAATAATAATCTAATTGATTTCGTTAACAATTCAGAAGTTTGTGAGTATTTAGAATTATGTGCATTTCAAATTAGCCTTTACTAATCAGTTAAAATTATTAGTGAGTTGAGTATCTCGAATCACATTCATTATCAAATCCTTCAATAATAAATTATAACACCTAAAAAATTACCAGAGAGTACGTATTCGGAATTATAAAATCAATGTCGTTCTAATCCTAATAACACTAACAACAATCAACCATACATAGAGCGTGAGTGTTCTGAAATTTAAGATCAAATATTTCTTACTATAATTTTAATTCATTATTCATAAATGCATTAGAGAGTAAGTATATTAAACATAAATTTGATGTCAGCTAGTTCAAATATAATCTAAATCTTTTATTATTATTCTATTAATCATAAACTAGACGGTGAATATTTAAAAATATATTTTCAAAAAAAAACACTAATTTAACCATTAGCAAATCACGTACACACAAATGACAGGGAGTGAGTTTTGTTTATATTTATACACTTCTTAAAAAGAAGCATTCGTTCATCGATGCTAAAAATAAATCCCATATTTCACTTCATAAACCACCGGGGTCTGCTACATTTCATCAAATATTTAAATAGTGGTAAAAAAAAAAAAAAGAAATCATTATTAAAGAAATCACGTGGGTTTTGCTATCATAAGGGTGGTTTGTGTAGTGAAATATGGTTAGGGGTGCTAACGACTCAATCGGCCCTATTGATTAATCGGGTTTATAATAATAAATATATAAGTCGAGTCAAGCCGTTAACATCCTAAATAGTATAATATTTTTATAACAATTGATATATATAATCGATTAAAACTCATGATTTTATATGAGCATCGATAAATTATTACATTTACAAAACGATGTATCTTTGATCAAAATCCACAAATGGCTTACATATACAATCAAACAGATCTAAACTTTATATGCACAATCGCGCAACAATTAGATGATTGCGCATGTGTATGCTGCGATATAAAATTATCCATTTCCAAACCATGTGATTATTGGCATTACATTTTATTTGGTTAAATTTAATGTGATATTAATTATCAATAGTTGGACTGCCCTAATTGTTGGGTTGTAGC